ATCTAACTTGACTCTGACACGTGTTCCTTCAGAGAGGAGATCTGTCTTTTTTGACACTTTAGGTGATCCTATCGGAATGTCTGGGGGATTTCTCTGCCAGAGTTCATTTACTTTACTCACTATATTATGGAAATCTTCTGACCATTCCATGGATGTCACCCCAGTTTTCAACTCTTGTGCAACCATTCGTTTTAGGAGAGGTTCTTGGATTGCTTGGATGGCTCGTTCGGCATATGACTGCTGTTTATGTCTACCTAGTTCGCCGAACCTCATCATTACCCTAGGCTTTTCAGGAAAAAATCACGTACCTGGTCGTTAGTGAATTCTGATCCGGAGTCTGTCTCCAGTCTGTGTGTTGGTGGCTTAATACGATTTCTTCTGTAGATTTTGACAAACCCGTTTAGAACTCTATTTGCAGTCTTATCCTTTAGGGGTTCTGCATCAACTCTCTTTCCTGCAACTTCCACCACTACGAGAAAATAGTGGAATTTTTTGGGGTCAACTGGCATCTCTGCAAGATCTGCCTGATGTGTTGCATTTAGTTTCCATACAATTACCTTTGGACGTTCTGTTGACTTTTCCTTTAGAGGCTTTTTGTATAGGTTGTAGTGCTCTTCACCTTTTAGAATTTGTGCTGGTACTCCAGAGAGATTGTAGTACTTATAGTAATTCTCTAAGTGTGACATATTACGACAAATTAAAGAAATGGTTTTAGACTTCAAATCTTAAAATGACACGTTTTTACTGCCTAAAGTGCAAGAAGGAAACTGAAACAGCTAGTGAAATACAAGATATGACTACAAATGGATGTTATCGTTTACATGGTGATTGTACAGTTTGTGGCATGCATAAGAATACTTTTACTGGAGTAGACTGGGTGATCAAGAAGAAGACTAAGGAGAAAAAGAAAGAAACCGCTGCTAAGAGATAGCAGACGGCTTACAATCAGCAATGCAAAAAATCAGACAGAAAATTTTAGATGCTGATGACACTTGCAAGTAGTGTATTGATAAATGTCTTAAAGAGCAAAAAAGAGAAAGACGGATTAGTACTGCCTTCTAAACTTATCTGGATACACTCTATTTCCAATACCCATTGTTCAATTACTTATTTTTTCTGACGGGGGTGGGACGGGGTTGGTCTTACTGGCTCTATAGACCTTCTAGGGGTTTACCTGTTAATCTACCTAATTTGCTATCTCATTAGCTTATACAGATGATCAGACGGAATCCTGTACATGTGGAAGATGTTCTGGATGTGGAGGATCTGGGGGGGTAAAATCAAAACTTTTTTCTGGGGGAATCCCTCTCCCGATATTTTTAAAATATCCTCCACATCCTCCACATCCTCCACACTCTTCTGATTCCCTCTTATTTTCCTCTCTTTTCCCTTATTTTATCCTTTTTTGTTATATATTTTTGTGGAGGATCTATGTGGAGGATTGTGGAGGATATATGGGGGATTCCTGAGCCCCGTAGGGGCCATATAGGTACTGCGACAGGTCGTAGACCCAGAGGTGGGAGGTGCTTGCACCACCCACATCCAGCTGGATGACTATATATATATATATTTTTAATATTATGAATGGTTACTAATAACCATTTTTTACTTTTTTTTAGACTTCGGTAGGCTTCTGACCTTTAGGAAAAGAGGAACCAAGATTTGTAAATATGAATCTTGGTTTATTTTTTATATATATATTTTTTTAGAAAATTTCTAAGTTTACACGGGGTGTTTGTACACGGGTCATATAAATATAATTTTTAATAGACTAATTTTTTGTTTTTTAATTTGAAATTGAATGTTACCAACATTATACTCTTTTACTTTTTATTCTTATTATATTACAGATAAATATACGTATTTTCACCTGCTCTGCAAGTTTACTTAAGGCATTAAAGGAGGTTTTGAATGCCGTTTTTAATCTACTAATATGACCCATGTTTAAACACTCTGTGTACAAATAGAAATTGCCATTTTTTTAATATTATGAACGGTTACTAATAACCATTTTTTACTTTTTTTAGATTCGGTGGACTTCCAACCTTTGGGAAAAGTGGAATCAAGATTCGTAAATATGAATCTTGGTTTATTTTTTATATATTATTTTTTAATATTGTGAACGGTTACTAATAATCGTTCTTTACTTTTTTTAGGTTCAGTGATATCTGAGTTCTGAAGAACAGAAAAGAACTAAGATTCATACTTACGAATTTTGGTTTTATTTTTCTTATTTTTTTTTAAAAAAAATATTATGAACGGTTACTAACCATTCAGTTCTTTTTTTATAGGTTTCAGGTGGGCTTCTGAAGAATGAAAAAGAACTAAGATTTGTAAGTATTATGAATCTTAGTAGTTTTTTTTTTTAAAAAAAGAAATGTTATACTGTATTAACGTTTCTATTTCTTTATTTTGTAGGAACTCTGGGGCTTTCTTTCTCTCCTTCCCTTTCACTATTTCCATTCCTCTATCTTTTACTTTTGTAGGACAGTTTCTTGGAATTTTCTTCAGCTTCGGTAAGTTTCTTTTGTAGAATCGGTAAGTTTTATTTTTTTATTATTAATTTTGGTTTTTTTTTATTAATTTTTTTTTATCTTTTTTTTGTAGTTTCAATTTCCTTATCCTGGATGATAGGATTGATCAGTAAGTTTCAAAATGTTTTGTTTGAAACTTTTTTTAAAGTTTTTTTTTTAATTTTGTTTTTCCAAATTTTATTTCAGGTCGGACTTAAATTTATTTTTTTCTTTAGATATAGTGAGACGACTTTTAATATTCGTTCTTTTCAAGATGCAGATTACATACATGCATAATTGTGAAATTGTGTATAATTATTGTTATTTATACATTAGATAGATATGTATTATATATTTAAGTGTTTTAATAAATTAATAAATTTGAAATTGAAACTAGTGCTCCAAAACGAGTCGAGTTGACTCACGAGTTGGTCGAGTCAAGTTGAGTCGAGTCGAGTCAAGTTTGATTTGATAATTTTCCCAAATTGATATGACAAGTCGAGTCACGAGTTAATCATGAGTCAAGTCGATTTTGATTTGAAATCGAAATCGACTTGACTCGTATGACCCGAATTGAAATCGATACGTAATACGTAAATTTTTTTAGATTATCCATAACGATCTTTTTTTATATCGATTATATCAATTTTTTTTTTCCTTCGAGTATTACAACTTCCCAATTTATATGTTAATCAGTTTAAAATGACTGAAAATTTGAGTTCTGGTGGTTCTTCACGAACTACTAGTACTGTTTGGTCTCATTTTACGTTGGTTGAGGAATCAACAAAAGCCCAATGTAATTACTGCGAGTGAGTATATTGTTTGTAATATATTTTTAATCATTTTTGTATATAAAATTGTGTCAATTTAAATAATTTAGCGCTAAGTATAAGCGAGCTAGCGGAAACACAACAAATCTTCACAAACACTTACAAAGGAAACATCCCAGTAAAGTTGAATATGAAGCAGAAAGCACTGGTGAAATGGATAAGTTTGTTACGAAAGAAATACCTATAAGTTTATTTCCTTTCTGCTTTTTATATTAGTCATTTAAATTATACATTTATACAATATTTAAAAATAAATAAAAATTATTAATAAAAATTTAGCGTTATACTGCAACAATATTTCGTGAATTTATCACTAAATGGATCGTCTGTGACGACCAACCCTTTACAGTTGTAGAAAATGAACAACTTCAAAAAATATTTCAATTATTATTCCCTAATATTAAAACTATATCAGCAGATACAGCCCGTAATGATATTATAGATGCGTTTAAGGAAGAAAGAAATAAAATTCAAAATATTTTACAGGTATTTTTGGTACCTCTATTTTTTATTTAATAATTCTCATAAATATTAACACATTAGAATATTAATAGAATGCTCCAGGTTGTCTTACATTTACACTTGATGCGTGGACTTCTTCAAACTTCCTTCCATTTCTCAGAATTACAGTGCATTGAATTTCCCAAAACTGGGAATTAAAAGAAATTTTGATCGATTTTTGTAAATTATCTGGCCTGCATTCTGGAGAAAATCTATTTCAAACTTTTATCCAATGTTGTGATGATATGAGAATTCTTACTAAAGTAAGTATATTGATATAATAACCATTAATTCTTTATTGTTTTTTATTTATTTATAATCTATTTAATACAAATTATTTTTATGGAAAATAATAGATTATAGCATGTACAACAGACAATGCTTCTAATAATGATACTTTAATGAAGTCACTAGAATCGGTTTGTCAAGAGAGGAGTATAGATTTTACCACAAAAAACAATTACGTTCGATGTCTGGCTCATATCATTAACCTTGCCGCACAAGCAGCTCTTTCTAGTTTAAAAGTTGGATATGTGGAAAATGAAAACGTACTTTTAAATGATACTAATGAAATAACTGAAGTAATTCCAAAGGTTAGGTACTTAGGTTAAATTGTTAATGTAATTATATCATTATAAGATTTAACTGATTTTATCTTATATTTATATCTTATATCTATAGCTTCACAAACTTATTATTAAAATTCACGCATCCCCCAAAAACGAGAGAAATTGGCACGTCAATGTGAAGCTGCTCACCTCCCAAACAAAGAACTTATATCTGACGTGAAAACAAGGTGGAACTCAACTTACGTGATGATAGAACGAAGTTGTGAATTATGAAAGGTAATTTTTTACTATTAATGATGATTAATAATAAAATTTTTTTATATAAATTGTATTATTTACTATTTAATTATTTTAATTATACTAGACTTTGGATAACACTGTAACAGCAGATAGAGATTTAAGAAAATGGGAGTTAGTAGATTCCGAATGGAATTATTAGAAAAAATTAAAAATTTATTATATGTAAGATTTATTATTTTAAGAAAAGTTCATGCGAACTTTTCTTGTTGGACCCTGATATGTAACTATAGGAGTATGTAAATTTATATGTAATTGTCCTATTAATTTTTAATTTTTATAATTATATTAGATATTTTGTCGTGCTACAAATCATATTTTCCATTCGCGATTTCCAACAATCTCAAACTCCGTGCCAGTTTATAATTGGCTTATGGATGAGATCGAAGATCTTCAAACCAACAAAAATACAAATGAAGTTATAAAAATAGCGGCAAAGAATGCTATGAAAAAAATTCAAAAATATTACTACTACACATCCGCCTTAGTGTATAATATATCTACAGGTATATTTTTTATATTTCTATGTTAATATTGTATTTTTTCTTCTAATTTTAACTTTTTAATATTTTTTTTTAGTTCTTGATCCCCGATTAAAACTTCAATACTATAAAGACATTGATTGGGAAGAAGAATACATTACTGAAATACGAACAAGTGTTTTTAATATATATAACACATAATATGCACCTTCACCATCAATGACTATTGAATCAGATCGAAATAGTGAGCCTAACGATAACCTATTCTATCACATATATAAAAAAAGACGTTCAACAAATGAAAATGAACTAGAATTGTTTCTTGGATATCCGGTTTTATCTGCAGAAATTAATATACTAGAATGGTGGAAGGTACAGTATGATCAAAATTAAATAATTTCGTATTAATTATATTAATTTTATATTAATTTTTATTTTATATATATTATTTTTTTATAGTTAAATGAACCTCAATACCCTCACTTGGCAGTAATGGCTCGAGATTACCTCACTATTCCTGGTAAATATACCTTTAATAAACCATTAAAACTACAGTTATTGGGTTTAAAAATATTTTATTTAATATTTATTTTATATTTAATATTAGCGACTAGTGTTCCTGTTGAAAGAGCTTTTTCTGGCAGAACTGATCTTGTGATACAAAAAAGATGCAGTCTTTCAGCTGAAACAATCCGGGCGTGTATGTGCCTAAAGTCTTGGTGGAAAGCAGAATTATAAATTTATAATAATTTTTTATTTACGTAAATACTTTTATATAATATAATCAATATAAATTTGTAATATGTTTTAACTTTTAATGTTTGCTATTTACATTATTTTATTAAATAAAGAATAACTAATAATATAAATAATCTATATAAATCATTTACACTTTACAATGAAAAAATATATAAAATTCGAGTCTGATTCAGTTTAACACATGTCAAATGATCAAAAATAGGCAAAAAAAATGGTGCAAATCGCATAAACTATTCGCAAATTTGTATAAACTATTTACAAATAGTATAGGTTAATTCGTAAATAGCCAAAAACAGCCAAGAATAGCCAAGAATAGCCACTGCTTTTCGTGCCATTTTTTTGCCGATTTTTAGCATTTCGACCTGTGTAAACTCGACTCGACTTGACTCGACTTGAACTTGGAGTTAGACTCGAATTGATGCTTTTTATGAGTCGAGTCAAGCCAAGTCTAAAATTATTGTAATTTTTGACTTGACTCGACTCAACTCGACTCGATTTTTTTGAGTCGAGTACGATTTTGTTCAATAATTGACTTGACTCGACTCGTTCGGAGCACTAATTGAAACTAAATTAATAAATAAATATTGAAGAATAAAGACCTTAAAATTTTGTGTTGAATAATCATCTGAAATTTGACACCACTATTAGACTTATATTCAACCTAGTCAAATTTAGGTCAAATTTTCTTTCCAAATTTGAGACAATTGGCACCCTAAATGCACCTGAAAATTTGACCTCAATTTGACACAGGTTATCGACCTATATTTGACCTGGTCAAATTTAGGCCGAATTGTCCTATTTCAACTAGTGTTGTCCTAAGATTTTTTTATTTTTTTTCAGGCTTCAATTGATAATATATTAACTAAAAAAACTGGAAAAGCAATTCAAGATCATATAAATAATCTTCTTCTCATATAAAGGATAATGGCAATGTTACCGATGAAGATAATGATATTCAGGTATAATGCCAACCTTATGATTAGTTATAATAACTGTAAGATGTTTTTTCTAATCACGAATATATGACTTTTTTAAAAAAAAGAATCTTTTTCCCCAAGCACAAAATTAATAAAGAGAAAGAAGTAACACTGGTCAAAAAGATGAGTCTAGTTTTGTAAACCTGAATGGATTTATAATTTATTGCTATATAGGTGAAGCGATATAGCTGACACATTGTACGTATTGTATATGTTGTAATTTAATGAAAAGATTCTAGTAATGAGGAAACCAAAGTATGTAGCTAATATTTTAACTGTAAATTTATTTTAAGGTTATCTCTTATATTTACTACTTTACTGAAATATTCAAATCTAAAATAATATCTTAACGATATCATTATGAGATCGTAACGATTTCATGACGATTTTCTAAAATGATAACATATTGATATAGTTACGACTCTCTTAACGATAACGTAATAATACTGTGACGATACAGTGAATGATAACAAAACGATATCATCCAGATATTTATTGATACTGAAATAGCATCATTTTAGTATCAGCACGATATCGTCGCAGCAATGATACAGTGACAATACAGTGAATGATAGCAAAACGATATTATCCCAACACTAAGATAGCATCATTTTGGTATCAGCACAATATCGTCGCAGCAATAATACAGTGACAATACAGTGAATGATAGCAAAACGATATTATCCCGACACTAAGATAGCATCATTTTGGTATCAGCACGATATCGTCGCAGTATTATTACATTATCATAACTGTATCAGCATGTTATCATTTAAAAATCGGCATAAAACCAATATGTTCCCATATTGATGTCGTTGAGATGTATAGAAAACAACTAATGATTATTAAGAATATCAATCATGATATCTTAACGATATTTAAATGTTATCAGCTTGGTATTATGACAATAATTAAAGTATCAATTTTATTAATAATCAAAATTTACTTATTACATATCTGATCATAAATAATAATTACAACATTGTTACTAGTGAAATTACTAGAACTAACTTTATTTCCATAGTATATGTGAAATTTAAAGCATTTACAATTATTTAATAATACCATTCAGTTTTTAAGAAATACGTGTAATTAATAATAATACCTACCATACTTACCGAAAATAAGATGCAACAATTGCAGACACAAGTGCTATTTTAAAACATACTAAATCCCTGATAGACATGGAATGATTGTTTTGATTTTACCGCCAAGTCTATGGAAGCAACATCTAAAATTGTTCCTAAAAATACTCTAGTTGAATATGATATAAAGATAACGAGTGAGTAATAATATAATTTACTTATAATTTTTGATATTATAAAAACTTTGTTTATTAATAACCTTTTGCAATATTTTATCGCCAATAGTTCTGCGCTCCTTGATAGGTTGTTACTTCTTGGATGGTTGATATACGCTACATATTTCGTGTTGTCGGTCTTGATCAATACTGTCTGATCGGAATGGCCCTGTATTATAGAAGGGAAAATAAATTGCTCTTAGCTCCAGGTGATTGATCATCTAAAGAACGAAGTATTAGTATTAGCATCTCATTTTTAAAGAATAAAGAAAATCAAGACTTCGAAGTAGTAAAACCTTCGAAATCTTTGTATAAACTCTGTCCAATGATCAAGAAACTTAGAAATATAAAAGTGAACGTTAGATAACATTTGTTAAAATTTTTTTTTTGAAGTTTACCTTCAAAGTAAAGTCCAGGTCCGAACCTTTGGTGATATGTGTCCTGGAACTAACAAAAAAAGCAAATGAAGACGTTAGTTAACGTTTCGTTTAAGTGAAAAATAAAAAAATCAGATTTTTCAAGCTTACCTTCGAGTAACAGCCTGGAAGCCGTGAACCTACAAAAGAGAAACTGAAATGTTTAGCTTCATTTAATTGAGAAACAATAAATAAAAGAATTTCAAAGTTACCTTCTAGGTGTAGTAAACTTTCGTTTGGAAGAGTCACTGAGCCATTCACCCTTTTAGCTTCAAACTTCTTTTTCTGTTGCGGAGTAACGCCCTAGAATGCAATCGTGCTGGAAAATCCGAGTTCGCGGTTGCCACAATCTTTCCTATCAACGAGGCAAGTTTTCGTACGGGAGAATTTTGAGTTGTTTCGCCTTCTGACATTCCCTCACTAAGCTCTTTATTTTGTGTTTTGGCAATTTAAGTGTTATTGCCTTTGAATCGAATTTAAAACCCTAAGTAATCGATCACCCGTGTAGGAGTTAGATAAGATTTGTTTTCGTTTACTATGAACCCATGGTTCTACTAGCAATTTTACGATAATCGAAGCATGGTCTTGAGCCTGTTCTTTTGATGAAGCCATTATCAACAGGTCGTTTAGATAATCCACTATCCTTATCCCCTGAACTTGATATTCTGGGACTTGTTGTCAAGCCGAACGGTAAACATGAGGAAATCGAATGCAAAATATTTTCGTTGGAACTCTGCTAGCGGTATGTGATAGAAAAAGCTTGATTGAGGTCGATAGTGACCATAAAATAGCCGCGTCTCAACAATGACTTTACTAGGTCTAGTACATCTTGAAGTGGTTGTATTGAACACGTTAGAATTTTTGAAGATTTGTAGCTACTTTCGTTATGCTGTTTAGCTCTGGCGGTTTGACTGGCCACCCTAGTTGTCGTTTCCCGCAGGTTGATTCTTCCCTTTCCAAGTATTACTCTCATTTCTTCCTTTATAGTTGTTGTCGTTAGGTTTATTAATATTGTGAAAAAAAACAGTAGTTAATCTGAAAAATAACTTACTTCAAACTTCAAAGGTATCAAATTTCAAAGAAACTGGTAATTATTTAACTTTAAATAAATATTTAAAAATAAAAAGTTTGGCGTAGAGGGATTTTATCAGTAAAACAAAAAAACAAAAAATTTAAGGTTTTTATTGGTTAATCAGATCCAGTCACGTGAAATAGCATTGCTAAGTCACGAATATGAAGATCAATCTCTTCAATTGACACCCTAAGCTGATAACGATAGTCTGAAAAGGATTTTCTACATTGATCTATAATTGATTTCGCTGTGCTACTATAAGTTTCAAATTCGGGAAAAATTTTTCGTACTAGTTTTTCAAAAACGAGACCAGGTGGGAACCGAGATCTTAAAAAAAGACATTTTATTTCTTCGTCGATTAACCTATATTTTTCCTAAATAATAATAAAAGTTTTTGTGAAATATTTATGAAAATTATAGTCACAACAACTGAATGTATCGATTGAAATACAATAAACGCTTACATTGGATGCGGTTGATGGCGCGTGTGCTGGCTGCTGCACTGCTAGTGCTAATTGTGACGTACTATCCTTCATATTTAACATTTGAGTGGCTAGCTGCAGGATATCCGGATGATCAACTAGCCAATTGCAGATTTGCAATTGGTTTGTCATCGATTCGAATTGGGGGGGAACTTGACGTCATATTTATTTTATTAATAATAAATGAAGATATTTATGTATAACAAAATATTGTATTAAACAAGATTTTACCAGAATAGTTATCGTCTTCTTTTTCTCTATAATCTTGATCATCTTCTCTTTCATTTCTTCTCCTCTTAATTCTTTCTCTATTCTCTATTTCTCGTCCTTCTTGTTCTTGACGACGACGGAGGGGATTCTGACGTTCTCGTTCTTGTTCTTGACGACCATGGTGAGGATTCTGACGTTCTCGTTCTTGTTCTTGATGACCACGGTGAGGATTCTGACGTTCTCGTTCTTGTTCTTGACGATCACGGTGGGGATTCTGACGTTCTCGTACTTCTTGTTCTTGATGATCACGGTGGGGATTCTGACGTTCTCGTACTTCTTGTTCTTGACGACCATGGTGAGGATTCTGCTGATCTTTGGAAAGATCTTATCATTATTTATTATTGTTTTATTATTGTGTGTTATTATTGTTTGTTTTTAATAGTTTTTAAGTAAAATTAATATCTTCAATTGTATATAATAAAATGCAAAATTCATTAAATTCATAAATTAAGATTCTATGACTGACCTCTGAGAAAATCTATTTCGTCATCCTCATTGCTTATTTCATCGTTAATTCCTCCATCCTCATCGTTAAATTCATCATTAACTTCTTCGTCTGTTCCTGATGCAGTTTTTGCTCGACCTTGATTNTTATATAAAAAATCAAAAAAAAAATGCCGGAACTAATAGTTCTGGCATATTTTATATAAAAATTAAAAAAAAATGCCAGAACTAATAGTTCCGGCATATCTTATATAAAAAATAAAAATAAAACCACTGAAACTAATAGTTCCGGCGTTTTTATATATTATATAAGATTGCAAAAAAATACAGTTCCGGGCAGCCAATCAGAATTGCGGAATTACGGATTACTAACCGCAATTCAACACTAAATTCCGCAATATTGCGGAATTTGAAAATCATTTGCGGACCCATCCTTAGTCACAACAACTGAATGTATCGATTGAAATACAATAAACGCTTACATTGGATGCGGTTGATGGCGCGTGTACTGGCTGCTGCACTGCTAGTGCTAATTGTGACATACTATCCTTCATATTTAACATTTGAGTGGCTAGCTGCAGGATATCCGGATGATCAACTAGCCAATTGCAGATTTGCAATTGGTTTGTCATCGATTCGAATTGGGGGGAAACTTGACGTCATATTTATTTTATTAATAATAAATGAAGATATTTATGTATAACAAAATATTGTATTAAACAAGATTTTACCAGAATAGTTATCGTCTTCTTTTTCTCTATAATCTTGATCATCTTCTCTTTCATTTCTTCTCCTCTTAATTCTTTCTCTATTCTCTATTTCTCGTCCTTCTTGTTCTTGACGACGACGGAGGGGATTCTGACGTTCTCGTTCTTGTTCTTGACGACCATGGTGAGGATTCTGACGTTCTCGTTCTTGTTCTTGATGACCACGGTGAGGATTCTGACGTTCTCGTTCTTGTTCTTGACGATCACGGTGGGGATTCTGACGTTCTCGTACTTCTTGTTCTTGAAGATCACGGTGGGGATTCTGACGTTCTCGTACTTCTTGTTCTTGACGACCATGGTGAGGATTCTGCTGATCTTTGGAAAGATCTTATCATTATTTATTATTGTTTTATTATTGTGTGTTATTATTGTTTGTTTTTAATAGTTTTTAAGTAAAATTAATATCTTCAATTGTATATAATAAAATGCAAAATTCATTAAATTCATAAATTAAGATTCTATGACTGACCTCTGAGAAAATCTATTTCGTCATCCTCATTGCTTATTTCATCGTTAATTCCTCCATCCTCATCGTTAAATTCATCATTAACTTCTTCGTCTGTTCCTGATGCAGTTTTTGCTCGACCTTGATTAGTTTTTGCAGCTTTTGATTGACTTTGAGCAATTCCTGCAGCTTTAATTCGACTTGCCGCAGACTTTGACTTTTTAGTAGGTTCTGTTATATAGATAGCATTAAAACCGCTATTCAAAAATCAAAAAAAAATCAAAAAAAAAGGAACCAAAAAATATTCAAATATTACTTGATCGAACCATGATTTAAGAATACCAATCAGATCAGAAAAATCTTAACACATGGGAAAATAAAGTGTCTAATGCTCTATTGTATTTATATCTGACTCTAGCAGTATAAGAACCTGTTTATTGGTAATCATGCCTTGTCAAACCATTTTCTGAATGCCACTTTTCTGAATATACTTCTCCCAAAATCAATTATCTAAAATGCCAATTTTCCAAATAGGATCTTTACCTGAAATATTCACGAATCTGTATTTCCTGAATTCCAAATTCCTGATGCTCAATTTCCCAAATCCCGAAACCTAATATATCCTTATACCCAATATCCCGAATGGGCAATTTCCCGAAATATAAAATAATATACTGTAATCTCTTTTAATTCATATGATTTATTATAAACTGTGTAATAGATAATGGATGAGAATTATTGTGATAAATACTTTGTTTCCATAAATCGGAAATTGGCTGATACAGATGTACATATATCGTAAAAAGATCAACGGATCGATCTGTTTATATACTGCAGTCACGATAACAAAATTTTCCGGTTATGCACTTAACTGCTGTAATCATTGACCTATCGCATATTATTTAAAGTAATGTAAGAATATTAAATAATTGGGCAAAGATATGCACATATAAGATCAAATGATAAAAGAATGAAGTCAAAAAAAAAAAAAAAATTTTTTTTAAAAAAAAAAATTTGAAAAAGGAGTGCAGTGCAAGGAGTACAAAAAAAAAATTTAAGGGGCCGAAATGCAAAGCGGATAACCCAAATCAACCCGGTAACTTACGTGATCAAAGTATGTATCCTGGGAAATTTTCATAAGATAAAAAGGAAAAAAATTTGTGTATTATTAATTTGGAACATAATCATTGTGCTATAAACCCGATTTAGGTAGTAACTAATATGTATTTTATTTATATTTTAAAATTTTTCTTCGTTTAAGAGCAATGATATAAAAAACAACATAAAAAACATATTTTATATACAATATACAGTATATTCGACTTTTTAGTATACTGTAACGTTCCTCCAAATAAAAGAATTGGTATTGATATTGACCCAAAAAGAAAAGATGTAGTTAAAATTGACCGTAGCCCAATTGTAGAACAATATCCAAAATATTGTGTGAACGCTAAAACGAATTTGCGTATTAAATATATTTTTTACAACTCCAACGGATGATCATGCATAATTAGATAAGCCATGTAACGGTTGTTACAAATAAATTTACAAAATGTTTATATTATACTGTACGTGAATTTCGTGAATTTTATGATCTTTATATATATGTAAGAAAAATATTTAAAGAATTTATTATAGGTTTATTTATAATCTTAATTTTATTTATAGATAGACAATAATTAATTAATTGATTAGGGTTCGTCAACGAATTATATATACTTTAGTAACAAACCTATTTCTGTTTCCTTGTCTAATACGCGTTGCTAACTCCTGCACGCTATAAATTTTTTTCTAACGAATATCACATCTCCCTTTTCAAAATCTTTCTCAATATTCCTATCCGAATGAAGGCTTTGATTTTCAAATAATTATTTTTTTGGATTATTGGCGTCTAATATTGACACAGCCGTAACCTCTTACTCTTGAGTGAGCCTTTCGCTAGAACCATGTAGAAACTTGGACATTTTTTGATAAATGGTATTTGTGGAGGTTCGGGTGCAATTGGTGTAAAAAGTTTTTTTGTTAAAATATTTTTTTACATGAAATTAATGAAAAAATCTAAAGGATGATGACTTTTTATACCTTTTTTTATAATGTTAGAAATCTTTTTCAAATTCATTCAAAAATTCAAAATTCGTTAAATTCGATCGTTGAAAAAAATTGATAATTTAATAATTGAAAAGAAGGAGCCTCAAATTTTCATTTTCCCTATGGAAAAAACATCATGAGGCATGAGACTTCGTTATTTCATTATCATTCTCACGAGGCAATCACTTGCCATTATATTAAACGTCCATATAAGGAACTGTAACATTTTTTTTTCGTGAAATGATTTTTTTAATTAATTAATAAATCCAAAAAAAATTTTTTTTAAGGAGGTTAAAAAAAAAAAAAATCTTGGATTGAAACGTAATGATATAAGTTACAGGTCAGCAGCATCAGTGTAAATATATAGTTATATATTTATTATTAAAACATGACCTCTCCTTCAAGGAAAAAGAATCATACAATATATTTTAGATATTTTAACATGAATATTTGTAATTGCATACTTCAATCCCATAATTCACAGTTTTTTATAAATTATTAAATTTTTTATTGTAGTTACAAATCGTTACCATCCTAGCAATAGGCGTTGTACAATTGGTAGATCTAGCTCTGCTCTACCATTTCGTCTAACGATGGACATTGTATAACTGGTATCATTTTTTTTTTGGGTTGTCATTAGTACCGACGTCCTCGTCGTACAACCTGGGTACTAGTAATATGCTAGTAGCAAACGGGTACTACTAAAATTGAAAAGAATGAAGCTGAAGCAAACAATTAAACTTTTTTTTATTGTTATTACACGTGAATCTTTTTTACTAGTTATGAATTTTTTTTATCCACTAATAAAAAACTTTTTTCACATGGTTTTTTCACGTTTTTTTTATATGTATACATTTTTTAAAATATTGATGAATTTTTTTATGTGATAATTATGTAAACAAGTCATTTTTTTTATAAAATAAATATTTCCTAAAATGATAATATTCCTCGAGTTTGATCGTTCGATTAATGATCTCAAGGCTATCTCTTTTTTTTTGTATATAAGAACAAAAAAATGATTATTTTTTTAGTACTCAAACGTAGCGGAAGAAAATTTTTTAGGTATGAATTTATAAAATTTTTTCTTTATATAAATTGACTTCAATAATTTAATTTATTTTTATTGATAATTTATTTAATAGAAAAATCAAAGCAGTGGTTTTAATTTTTTTTTTTTATTAATTCAACGCGCAGTCAGCAGCAGAAAAAATTTTTTTAGGTACGAATTTAATAATTGACAATTCATATAGAGAGACAATTCATAAGCTACTATTAACAATTAATTGATTAAAGCATGTCGCCACCTGGATCATCAAGAAAAAGGACGAGAAAGACCTATTTCCAGCGTCATACTAATCGTCAAAAAGACAAAGAAGAAAGAAGATGGAAAGATAAATCCTATGAATTGGAAAAGAAATATGATAATCTTTTGGAAAATTCTGCATTTTTTCTTATTTGGGGATTTTTTATTATTGTAGTTTTTATTTTTATTTTTATTGCTATTTTAATTAATAAATACTATTAGTATAAATACTTCTAATTTCATTTGCTGATTTTGATCACTTTTGACTATATTCTCAAACCTGACTTTTTAAAAATGATCGAACCCAACTGTACCACCACAGATTTGATGGTGATGCAGGAGACTAAAATCAAAAATT